ATTTTTTATTTTTTATTTTATAAAATTGATAAATTTTAACCTTTCATCTTATAAAATTAATAAATTTTAATCTTTTATTTTATATTATGACATTTTTAATCTTTTATCTGTACGAATTAAAGAAAATAATCCTTATTTAATAACAAATTATAATGTTTTATTAGTTCTATTAACTGACTGTCAGTTTTATTAACTAACTGTTAATTCTGTTAATTCGTTGTTAACATCTGTTAACATTTCGTTAATAAAACTAACAAATAAAATTGAATTTAAATTTCATGTTTTTTTATAATAGAAGACTAACAGATGTTAACAATCAATATAACTTGATATTAAGTGAGTGTTATTTTTTTTAATTCATATAAATATAAATAAAAGATTAAAAATATCATAATAAAAATAAAAAGTTAAAATTTACTAACAAGGTGAAAATCTAAAACTTATTAATTTTGTAAAATAAGGTTAAAACTATTCTGCTGAAAGTTTAAAAGCGTACTAACTTTATAACGTAAGCGGGTAAATGTTGATTTTTCCCGGAATGAAAATATGACATGACCAAAAACCCTAACCCCCTTTTGACAACAAATAACAATATTTACCTTTTACCAAAAAAAAAAAACAACATTTAACAAAAATAAGAGAAATAACAGTTAAAAAAACTAAAAAATAAACATAATAATAATAAGTCTTTACCAATTTTGATTTCCATCGACAGGATCCGTTGCTCCGATGAACATCAGACTAGATCAGGTAAACGTTGTGGATGACTTCCCTCTCTCTTTAAATTTGGACATCTTTATCTGCTACCCCAAGCCATATCCAGGTTCCAGTTCCCTCTCACTTGATCGCGGATGACTTCTCTCTTTAAATATAAACATCTTAGCCGCTGCCGGTTTTCTGAAGAGAAATCTTAACTGAATCTGGTAAGAAAGAAGAGAACCCCTGCAGAAGGAAAATTTGGAAAGTGTGGCGCAGTGCGCACCATTCTGCCCAAATTTAACGAAGGATTCTTTTGCAGCCCTTGCCTGTTCGTTTTTAAATGGTGGTGGACCCCATGCAGTGTATACTTATTGTTCGGTTGTTCGGTGGGTGGGCCTACTGAGAATAAGAGCTTCAGTCCCTCAACTTTTAACTTATATATGAAAATTTTAACTCTTTATTTTTTTAATTTAAATAAAAAAATCCAAAATAAATGGTAATGTTATGTGCTCCTTAAAATTTTATCACCCATTGTCATCTCACACCAACATGACAATTTTTTGTCATTATGGATTATCATCATTGTAACACCTTATATACTTTAGTAAATATATTAAAAATTAGAGTTTTTTATTTCAACATTTTATGGACCAAATTGATTAAATTTAAAGTATGTGAAATTTTGAGATAATTGAAGGCTATTTAATTATATTAGCAAAAAAATTAAGACATGTAGCAATTTGTGAACCAAGTCACCAAGGTTTTCTCTAAAGGACTTTAGAAAGCAAATTTCCTTTTTCTTTTGAACTTAGCCACCCTAAACCCATTTTTGGTCCTTCTATTATAGGAAAAAGTCATTTTTTGATCTTTATACCGAAAAAATCTCTTTTTTGATCCTTAAATTTTAAAATCCAACCTCTTTTTAATCTTTCCGTTAATTTTTACTCACATGACACAGCCGATATAGGTATGTCAACATGTAAAAAATGCTTATATGGACTTAATGACAACCTCCACGTCACACTCTACTTCCTACGGCCTTTTTTTTTTTTTTTTTAATTTTTTATCCTTTTACCTCCAGGCGATCCCAACAGCCTGGGCTTGCGAGGAACCTAGGCACCTGGGCTCAGGACGAAGCCAGCTCCTGGGTTCACCTGGAGGTAAAAAAAAAAAGAAAAAAAAAAGAAAAAAGAAACGGAGAAAGGAAAGGATGGGGGAAGAAGATTCCTGGGTTCGCGATGAACCCAAGACCTAATTGGGATTGCTTAGCTTGTGAGTACCAGTGCTTTATGTGTTTTAGGCTATTGCAGTGTGCTAAATTAGTCAAGTTCCTGAAACATTTTATCAGTTAAGGCCATTGACATTGAGTGCTGGAATTTCAGATCCTCAATTTTCAAAACAATCCCAGTTTGAACATCCTTATATCGTTTTCTCCTCCCATCCATATTTTAATGGCTCAGAACATTCTAGCTTTGCTGATAGATTTATGGTGTTGCTTGCAATAACATTTTCAGGACACCTGGAAAGATTGGAACAGCTTTTAAAGGAGTGTAGTAGGAGTAGGACACTCCAATAGTATCCTGTTTGTCAACTAGCTTTCTTCAACTTCTGTATCCTGTCACGAGTCGACCACTTGACCTTTTTTACAGACACAGCCAAGTATACACAAAGCAACCAAATTTAATACCCAGATGTCCCCATCCCGCCTCACCATATCCAAAATCTCCACCCCAAAGCAACCCCATTTCTTCAATCTGCTTCATAATTTTCTCCATCCCTTCATCACCAAACTAACGCAATTCACTTTTTTTTTAAAAAAAATAATTTTTTAATCTAATATTAATACCCCTCTGGCATTATTATCATAATTTGTATTCCACTTGGCTTTCTCTCTCTCTGTTTTCCTGATCTTCATTGTTTTCTGGGTTGGTTAAAAATAAAAAAGAAAAAGGGAGTGAAAATGATGATCAGGCTTTTCCGATCCAAATCTTGCGGGTAGGTCGGACTTACAGATGGGCCGTTCTTTCACCGGAGATATAGCAGCAACGTGGAAGACAATGGAGGGGAAGAAGAAGAATTTAACGAGGAAGATGACGACGATGATATTGAGGGAAGTGAAATTACGAAAAAATAGATTCCGACGCCGTTTATAAGCCCCGAGTCGAGCTTTGGGGGTGAGGGGCGAAATGGTAATTCCACGTCGAAGTCTAATCATTTTACAATTCTGGATATTTTGGTGGGGGCATTGCGGAAGTCGCTGGTCATGTGCGGCGTCGAGAGTGGCGATGTGGCGTCGAGAGTGGCGATGTGGCGTCGAGAGTGGCGATGTGTCGCCGATGGACATCAGCTGGCCGACGGAAGTCAGGCACGTCTCCCACGTCACCTTCGACCAGTTTAATGGGTTCCTCAGTTTACCCACCGAGTTCGAGTTGGAGGTTCCCCGGAAGGCACCCAGCGCCAGGTCTTCTTCTTCAATTTCTTTTGGGGTTTATTTCAATTTAACATTTTGTTTGCTAATTAATGTGATTACTGCTTCTCTTAGTTATTTATGGGTAAGATTATTAACCAGATAAAATTCTCTTAATTTAGTTTATTAATTGATTCATCGCGAACCCAGGAATCTTCTTCCCCCATCCTTTCCTTTCTTCGTTTTTTTTTTTTTTTCTTTTACCTCTAGGTGAACCCAGGAGCTGGGTTCGTCCTGAGCCCAGGTGCCTGGGTTTGCGAGGAACCCAGGCTGTTGGGATTGCCTGGAGGTAAAAGGAAAAAAAAAAAAAAAAAAGGCCGGAGGAAGTGGAGAGTGACGTGGAGGGTGTCATTAAGTCCACATAAGCATCTTTTATACGTTGGCATACCTACATCAGCTGTTCCAGTTAAGTTAACGTGTCATGTGAGTAAAAATTAACGGAAAGACTAAAAAAGGATCGGATTTTAAAATTTAGGGATCAAAAAGAGGATTTTTTCGGTACAGGAACCAAAAAGAAGCTTTTTCCTATAGTAGAGAGACCAAAAAGGGTATTTAACCAAAATTTTAACTCTTTATTTTTTTAATTTAAATAAAAAAATCCAAAATAAATGATAATGTTATGTGCACCTTAAAATTCTATCACCCATTGTCATCTCACACCAACATGACAATTTGTTGTCATTATGGATTATCATCATTGTAACACCCTATATACTTTAGTAAATATATTAAAAATTAGAGTCTTTTATTTCAACATTTTATGGACCAAATTGATTAAATTTAAAGTATGTGAATCTTATGTGAAATTTTGAGATAATTGAGGGCTATTTAATTATATTAGCAAAAAAATTAAGACATGTAGCAACTTGTGAACCAAGTCACCAGGGTTTTCTCTAGAGGACTTTAGAAAGCAAATTCCCTTTTTCTTTTGAGCTTAGCCACCCCAAACCCATTTTCTCTGCATTTTTCTTTTTCCAATCGATTCCCTGCCTCCTTCTCCCTTCTTTTCCAGCCAAGATTAACATGTAGGACGCACTCTCAAGTTGAAATCCCTTCAATTTTTGCAGTTCTCTTCAACTTGGTACTTTGATTTCCAAGTAAGTATGAGTTTTGGTTATAATTTGGGTTAGAGTTTCTTTGGGTCGATTATAGATTTGTTACAATAAACTAAAAATTAGTTTAAATTGGTGGAATTTAACCCCAAAACTTTAGTTTAGTAGGTCTTTGGGCATTAAAATTTTGTTAGGAATATATGTCAATTTTTTGGGTTGTACGGGAAAGATAATGAGTTATTCTTTTTTTTTTTTATGTTTGATTTGGTGTGGATTTTATGGATTAAATAATATGCTGTTGTTGCCTTGTGATTCTTGCACATTTTATGTGATGATCTCTTGGGTTTTAGCATGGTTAAAATAAGAATTTATATAGTTAATTGGACCTTGCTGGAACTGTGCATGAGCTTGAAAGTAAATTGCTAATTCTCTAATTACTGTGCACACACCATACTTTAATTTCCTTTCATAGGAAATTCTATGGAATATGTGAGCTGTATATGTGGATATTAGTGTGAACTTGAATTGTCAATACCACTGATTAATGGAAACATTAAATGGGATAAAGCTCTAATATTATTTTGGACTTATTCTGAATTTATTTGACATTTGTATGTGTTTGTGGTTATGAAATAAATGGACTTAAGTTTAAAGTTTGGGGTATTTAGTGAACCTTTGCGTAGTAGGGTTAGTACTGTGATTAGCTTCAGTACAGTATTGCTAGCACACATCAGTAGACTCCATAGCATTGTGTGATTTTCGGTTTTGTGCATTATGCTTGTGACATCACATTTATGAGCATATGGTTTTACGATATGAATTTAATTTAAATGTCATTGGTTGTTCCTTGACATGTTTGATTATTTATGAGTTAATTTGTGATATTAAATTGTTATTTAAACACTAAGATTTATAATATTATGTTATTCGATTTAATTATCTTTTGTACTCTTTGTGTATATAGGTCTAAGGGTCTTAAAACTCAAGTTTATAGTTTAAACTTAATACTTACTGGCTTTTAGCTCATAAAATTCCTCCTCATTTCAGATTAGTAGACTGGAATAGCGGCCACTCAGTTTGAGAGCTCTCGGTATAAATCTCGTATACCGACCTCAGTGTTATCAATGTGAAGACAGATTAATGTATTACCAAAATTATAATTTTGCTTTTATTATTTTAGAAAGTATTTTGAAAAAGCAATTGCTTTCATGTATTTTTTTGTATAAGTTATTTTTATGTATATGACATTAAGATTAATTTAAATGGGCATTGCTTGGATTATTTTATAACTTTAAGTATTTCGATATTTTTCTTAAGATATTTTTCACTTAAATAGTTTTCCCTTACAGATGAATGATTTTTTTTTATAAAACTTTAAATTGTTTTGAAAGCGGATTTTCCTTAAAGGGAAACATTTTATATTAAAAGAGTCTTTACTTCCGTTACAATCTTTTTCTATAGATAATTCCTACCCTTTTTTTTTATCTTGTGCAGTATATTTCCCTACTTGACAAACCTTTTGGTTTATCAAAAAGGGGATGTTACAATCATGGATAATAGAAGTTAGATTTGACAACCAAGTCAAATTTATTAAGTATAGATTGAATCACTTGAAATTTTAAATTTGGTCCGATTTTAAGTTAAAGGGGTAAATCCATGACTCACCCATACAAATCTTAGATTTGATCAAATGAACCCAATTTTTTTTAAAATTGAAATTAAAATTAAAAATTTTTAATATATTCTATATTTTTCTTTTAAAAATTTAATATTAATTAATTATTTAATCAAAAAATCTTTTAAATTAATATTAACACTAATAATTTAATAAATAATAATCATTTTATAGCATTGAATTTATTTTATATTTAAAAATTAAAATTAAAGTATAATTAATTAAAATTTTAAATTTTGAAAAATTAATTAACTTAGTCAGATTATTAGGAATTGACCTGACTCAACTCAATCAGACCCACTCAATCAGGTTCGAGCAATTTTAGTTTGGACTATATCTGATTCTAAATTGATACCTTAGAGATTTAAACCTATAATTTTACTCATAGGAAATAGATTAGGTCAGATTTTTGGATTTGATCCAATTTTATCAAGTTTAATAAAAGCGGAGAACTGTGTTCCTAACACGATGACAATCATAATGGTAAGGAATTGTCACGTTGGTGTGACATAATAATGGGTAACAAAATTTAACAAGCACACGATGTCGTCATCCATTTTGGATTTTTTCATTTAAACTGAAAATACGAGAAATTAAAACTTTTATATTGTAAGTTGAGAGGCTCATGCTCTCATAATCAGTAAGTTAAGAAATAAAAACTTTTATATTATAAGTTGAAAGGTTGATACTCTCATAATAATTAGTAAGGTAGAGCTCGCCAAGGATTTTTGCCTTATGTACCGATATGTATATATGTACATAAATCATATTTTTTATTTTTTAAATGTTAAATTATCTATATGGTTATTAAATTTTTAATTTTAAATTAAAATGATATTTAAATTTTATCGTACTTTTTGATAATTTCATTAATTAAATGCCGCCATTATCAAATTTTAGTTATGTTTATGGTTATTATTAAAAAATTTTAAACAGCTAAAATTATAAAATTTTTATTTTAATATAATTATAAAAATTAATAATTAATAAAATAATTAATATTTATTATTTAACAAATTAAAAAGTAATATGTGATTCAACCTGATGAAAACGATCACAAAATGTGCTTGCATGATGTCCTTCACCATAACCTCACATTAATCTCATATCCGAGATTGGGAAGATCACTACTAAAATCCTCACCTTCAGCAACGTGGAAGCATGTTGCCGAAAGTGGTTCTCATGTTGCTGAAAGTCCTTTAGCAACATGGCTTTGCTTGCTAAAACCTTTGTTGGAGAAGGTTTGGTGGGTAATACATTATCAACCAAAATTTTATTGCTGATATATCAGCAACATGGTCTACATTGCTAAAAATATAGTATCAGCAAAGTAGCTTGTGTTGCTGAAATGAGTCATCGGAATCCGGTGAGGGGTGGGGGTGAAATTTCTCACCCCCTTTAGCAACATAGGCCACGTTGCTAAAGATGGAGTTTCAACAACGTGGCTCATGTTGCTAAAAATTTGGAGAAATGTTGCCGGAATTTGTCACCGAAATTTTATCAAATTTTTAGCAAGAAAAGCCACGTTGCTGAAACCCTATCTTCAGCAACGTGGCTTATGTTGGTAAAAGTTCAAGGGTTGAGTGGTTTATACTTTTCAGCAACGTATTCCTTGTTGATGATTGTATACTTTCATCAACATGCTCTACGTTGGTAAAAAAAATGGATGGATTCCTCCCCACACTTCCGGTCCATTTTCAGCAAGCAAAGCCACGTTGCTGAAACCCTATTTTCAGCAGTGTGGCTTATGTTGGTAAAAATTAAGGGGAGAGAGTGGTTTGCACTTTTCAGCAACATATTCTTTGTTGCTAATTGTGTGCTTTCACCAACATGCCCCACCTTGGTAAAAAAATGGTTGAATTCCTCCCACATTCTCGGTCCATTTTCAGCAAGTAAAGCCATGTTGCTGAAACCATATTTTTAGCAACATGCCTCTTATTGCTGATGTCTATTATAATAAATATATTACATTAATTTTTTTTATTTGTATTAAATTTAATAAATTTATAATATTTACAAATACAATTTATTTTTTAATCATCAAATACATATTAATTATCTTAAGATCTCACATACAATATAATTAATATTTATATATTAATTATAAACATTAATCAATTTTTTAGCTTAATAACTGTAAATAAATTAATTAAACAAATTTAAGTTAATTAATTTTTACGGT